GCGCATTTTATATAACGTGCGCATTAATGCGCATTCATGCGCATGTTATTATAAAATGCGCATTTTTCCCATCTCTAATTGTGGTGCTTCTCTATTAACAGCAGTCCTCAAATCATGATACATAACACATTGAAAAACAAAGTTGTGACTTAGCAAGTTTATGATTGTAATATGCTAGCTTCCATATAAATTTCTCATAATTATACCTAGAGATTGGAACGGCGACTAATTATTCGAGCATCATTCATTGAGTTTTAATTCGGATATCATCGAGCATCAATGAGTGTTTATTTGTTTTGATAATGATAACATTATGTTACATTTTTTGATTGAAATTTAACTTTGATAGTGATAACATTATTATATAATTGATAAATTATATATTAAAAATGTAGTGATAGTAGTACAATTGATAAATATTACAGTACTAAATTTTTTAAAAATTCATCATACATTCAAACATCGGTCAAAATTTTTTCACCGATGCTCGAAATTCTAGAGTTTGGGATCAATGAATGTTCGAAATTTACCGGTTCCAATCTCTAATTATACCAAATGAATAAATATCGGATGCATTACTACAGTCAACTCTCTCTAAGTGCAATTCTTTGGGACCGGACTTTTAGCAACTTGCATTTAGACAACAATTAAGAAAAATTGCATTTATAGAGACAAAACGTATACCAAACATATACTTGGGCCCGAAGTTAAAGTTGCATTTAGAGAGAAGTTGCATTTAGAGGGGTTGCACTTAGAGAGAGTTGACTGTATATTGCTTTTTGTTAAAGTTTCAGGAGCAATGTAAGGTAAAAATGCCATAAACTTCCTCAATTTTTGATTTTAATGCAATATTAGCAAATTTTAAAAGTTCTAAATCTACAATGTATGCACTTTTTAAGCTATTTAGTAGTATATTTCCACTATGTAAATCCCGATGAATAAGGTCATGAGAATGAATTATCTGAAGATCTGATGCAATACAGTACACCGTATATAGAAGATTTAATTTATCTTTCCAATCCATTTTTGCTGCAGTTTGTTCTAAAACATACCCCATGACAATAATATAATCTTTAGAAGCATTATCTTTCAATATACCAAACATTTAAAAAGGCTGCATCTTTAAGACCGATAACACATATGCTTTTAAGTTATTATTAAAACAAGTGCAAAGGATATTACTAAGATATTGGTTATACAATACACAATTATGTTAATAAATAGTAGTTTAATTTATATTATTTATATTTGGTATACCGTATAAGCGCGAAATAACGCCCAGGGGCGTTATTTTGATTAATGGCCCGAATTAAGCTTAATTTAGGCCAAAATTTGAAACCACACCCTTGTGCGTTATTTTGCGCTTATACAGTAGGTAATAGTTTGCGAATAAATATAGTTTTGATCAACTCACCGATAATTACTTCACAGGCAACTTAGTTCAAAGACAATTAATTTATAGACAACTTACAATTAATTTACAGCCAAAGTTATTTTACAGACAATTAATTCTCGAACAAGTTTGTCTTAAAATAGTTCATTTCACTAGTAGCTTATTTTACAAAGTAATTCTAGTCATTGTCATTAGAGTAGTTTAGAATTAAATTTAAAATTATTGTAATTATAAAAAAGCTTTTCTGTGAAATGAACAGTTGGTTAATAAATGAGTTATAAGGCAGTATTAGAATACGCAATAAAGAATTTATCTGGTAGCTTATTATGATTTTCTACCAAATAATAACACTACTGGACAGAGATAATAGTTAAAAACAACTTAACCTATTATCTTGACTAAATAATAAGATTATTAGGCAGAGAATTATAATAAACTGCTAGCTAATACTTAATTATCATTACCGTATCGCACTGCTTATATCCCCCTCAAATAATATCCTACCACATAAAGTACTCCCTTCTCCACCAATGAAATTGCCGGATTCGTGAATAGTACCCGGTACTATTCAATTTTAAAAATGATGTTCTTGAATAAGACCCCGGGTACTATAAGCAGTGCGATACGGTAAGTAATTCAATAAAGTAAGATATAGCCAAAATTAAATTATATTATTTGGATTAGATATATAAAACTAGTCAATAAATGGTTAAGCCAAAAAGTAGCATTTATGTTAAAGTGTTGTAATAGCATATGTTGTAATAGTCGACATTTTTGTTGTAACAATATTCTTAGCCATAACTCTAATATTACACGTACTTATTTTTAATTAATAAAAATTTTTATTGTATTTTAATTTCATAAATTTATAGAATTGAAATAAAAAAAAACTTCAATTGATTTTAAATCAATAGTTATTGAGATACCTTTATATTTTAAACTTCAAGTATATTTATTAAAATTAAAAATAATAATAAAAAAAATAAAAAGATTTTAAAAATTTAACTATAAATTTTCGCTAATAGCAAACTATAATAATGACAGCAATAACATGTTATGGTTTTTATAACCAAAATGTCTGTTGAAAATCAATTAAATTCGTAAATCAGGTTTGCAAAAATATGACGTTATTTCATATCATTTAACACATCAAATATTAAATTATTTCTCCAAATTGAATATGAGCGAAGATACTAAACCAAATAAAATTAGACCTCGCTAAATGATAAATGTGTTTTAGTGAGGTAAAAAGTGTATAATATTAATTTGGGTTTAACACTAAGTGAAGGACGCGCATTCAGAGAGGTTATTCTTAACAATCCGCCATTTATAAATACTACCAGAAATCCGAAGACATGTGCTATTCTGAAAAGGACCCTGAATTTTTTGTCGACTAAGACTGCCTTGAACTTTAGCATGAACCCAATACGGACCAACTTTTGAAACATTAAATCGCATAAAAAATTTATCACAATTATGGTAATCTTTATCGCCAGCTATACATTTGCCATTTGCATCTTGCACCCAAATTCTGCACTCACTGAATGTTATATTTAGAATTGCACTGACAGATCTTTCATTGCCTTCAATGACTGGAATAAATGTTATGAAGATGCATATAATGATGGTGGTAAGAAAAAAAGATAATGAATATTTCATAATTGGTTCTTTTTTGATTAACGTTCTGTCAGAATCAAAATTTTTTTATACTTATGATTTTTATGATCTCTATCTACCTTGAGAATTAATATTTTTTTGCGTGACTGATTATAGGAATCATTTTAATTCAGCCAGCATTTATTTAGTCCTGATTTGTATGTTTAAAAAAGATCCATTTAGATCCCATTAAAAATTTACCCTTCAAGTAATTTTATGGAAATAGTCATAAATAAATTAATCGTGAAATTAGCATTAATGAGTTTACTAATTTCCACCACCACTTCTGATTAGTGATACGGGCCTATTCGGCCCGTCGGCCGGCAAGCCAACGTATAGATAAAATTTTTTTTGGCTAATAGAAATGTATGAAAGAATAAAATTATAAATGCGGCTATGTGTGATTTTGTTGTTATTTGGGGGGTTTTTTTTTATTTATATTCGGTGCGGGAAACAATTATTATGTATCTTTTCAAGCATGAACGATGATTTCCATATACCCATGGAAATCAGGAAAAACCGTTCCCCTAATTATTCTGAATTCCTGATTTCCCACGGAGGTATGAATGAAAAATGGTTATAATATACAGCTGTTTTCAAAAAGTTGTGGAAAACGATTTCCATATATTATGTGGAGAATCGAAATTTGGTGTAGTAATCTCCATAGTATAGTGATCTGCATCTTCAACAAAATTTCGAAAATGAATGTTGAAAATCACGTTATGGAACATACTAAAGTTGATTCTATAGTTAAATACTCGAAACTGTAGTTAAGTATAGTTAACTAAAACTATAGATAACTACAAAAACTAACAGCTAACTATAGTTAACAATTAAACTACTGTATGTGAGATCTTTGCTACAAAAACGGTGCTGTTCACTTCACTGACAATTATTTCATTTAGCCGACATCACATATAGAGATGGGAAAAATGCGCATTTTATAATAACATGCGCATGAATGCGCATTAATGCGCACGTTATATAAAATGCGCATGATATCGCATGATATAATTTTTTTTGATTTTATATTTTTCCTCTGGAAATATCAGATATTTGCCAAAGTTTTTTCCCCGACCCTTCTCATCTTTATGTTCATTCGTTTTCTTTTCAGAAATTTTCAAAACTTCTGCATTCCTATTTCTTAATCTTGCATGGCATTATACACCTTGGCCTAAATTAAATATACTTTAATTTTCCTATATAAAATTTGGATGGGATAAAATGCGCATGATTCCGAATCATGCGCATGAATGCGCATTAATGCGCACGATTGAGGAATCATGTGCACGCATGAAACCCATCTCTAATCACATAGCGTTTTATTAGTTACAGGCGCATAATTTTAGTAAATTGCCACTTGGCGCGATGTCGGCTAAGTCAGCTGTCAGTGAAATAAAGTAAGGCGTAGATCGGGGATTTTCCGATGGGCTAACTCGAAAAGCTTAGATCATATTGCCAGTTCTTATTCATATGTAAATCACCCTTCGGGATATTCCGATCGGGCTAACCCGAAAAGCCAGACCAGGATGCCAGTTCCATATGTAAATCACTCATAGGCAGACATTCGTATGATTGGCTGCTTAATGCATGTTGACAAAAAGTCAACTGATCGAAAAGACAGGGGAGAGTGGTCAGGGTTACACGCCATGTGCTACAACCCTGCCCCGTTAATTAAAGTGGGGGACCGGTATTTCATGCGGACACAATTACGTAACGGACATCGATTTTTCATGCGAACACAGCTGCGTAACAGAAAGAGTAATCAGACTATATCGATTTTTCATGCGAAAACAACTACGTAGCAAAAGCCATCGTTTTCAGTCAATATAAAAGAAACGACGAATGAGTCGTTTTCCAACACTCGTCTCTTTCCCCTTGCAACACAATCAAGCATTATAACCGTCATTTTCTCGACCCTACCCTTCCCACCACACGTAGGGGAACACTCTTCTGATTCTGCCATTTTCCTATTTAACAGCCGGCCTGCTTCGAGCAGTTCGAGCAGGCGGGAAACCACCGGCTGATGCTGCTTCTCACTCATTCTACTGTTACGATGATACCTGGGCGCAATCTCACTTGCTAATTTTCCCGGGAGCATATCATCGTTTCAGTTCAAATTACTCAGCTCAAATTACTCAGTTCAAATTACTCACAATGTATTCTGCGGACTTAAAGTCCTTTAATTGAATTTATTTCCGGCACCTTTGGCGTGCCGGCATTCTTCCAAACCACATGGCCAATCGTACCTATGCTTTTCGATTTATTTATTTATTTCTCGGGTATTGATGAGTTTACTGGTGTACATGTGATTCGGATGTTTTGGTGATTCAATATTAAGTTTAATTTTATCAGCTTCCAGAATTGTTCCTTGATTTCGCTATCATCATACTGACTCATCTCATAAAGCCAATAACAAATTATGCTACCAATAACAGTTGCTGTGGGTCGTTTATTTGATCTTGGTCCATTCATTTCTTTTATCGAATTCTAATCTTTTTTCTCGGCAGAATATTGTTGAAAGACAAGTGTTAAAAGATTCACGATCAAATGCTCTTCTTCCGGTTGAAATCTCGTACATGGATTCCAAAGCTGTAAATATCTGCCGCTTGTGTAACCGGTTGACCCATTAAAACTTCAGGCGCTACGTATAGCATGATACCATTAATTTTCCCTTCTTGTTCCATGTTAGAGAAAAGCCCTAAATCTGTAATGCATGCACTATTTAAATGATCCTGCAAAATACTTCCGGAATGTAAATCTCGATGAAATCAGTTCATGAGAATGGATTGATTCAAGTTCTGAGGCGCATTCAATTTATCTTTCCAATTCATTTATGCTATCGAACAAAGATTTTGACGCAATGAACCTTTACTTGCATATTCCAAAACGATAATGTAATCATTAGATTCATCTTCTCTTGATATTCCATAGCATTTTAAGAATGATGGATTTTCATATCCGATCTAGCAATATGTTTCAACTATAGTTATTAAATAAAATTTTTAAATAAATAAATCATTAGTATTACTTCATTAATAAAATTTTTAAATAAAGAAATCATTAGTATTACTTCATTAATAAATTCTTGATTACATTAATATTACCTCAGTGCAACGTCTGTCCAAAGTATTAGATTTTTGTCATACCAATATGCACAATATACAGTCGCAAATCCACCTTTCCCAGTCTCTCGAAAATTTTTAAATCCGCTATAAGGAATCCATGATAGTCGGTATTTTTCATCATCTAATATTTTCTTTCAAATTATCATCAATGATCTCATATGATAATTTGTTGATCCTATTTACACCTCTTTCTATTTGATACCAATGATTAGCTCGTTGTACGTATGTCTCTTGGCACACCAATTCCATTTCGATAACAGTCAACAACTTGCACTAACATAGCCCATATCCACAGCTTTTTTAAAATATTCAAAACTTCTTTTCATCCTTTTCAACTCCAATTCCATTTTGAAAACAAAACCCAACATTATACCGGTAAGTTCCACTAACATGCCCATCTCTGCACATTTTTTTGATTATATATAAAATATTTGTATTCATTCTTTTCAGCTCCTTTTCCATAATAATAACATTGCCCAAGATCAAATATTCCATTAACATTACCAATATCAGCAGATTTTTGATAATGAATGAAAGCTTTATGTTCATCTTTTTCAATTTTCATAAAAATATCTAACACTATTAGTTCTATCAGCAGATTTTTGGTAATAAATGAAAGCTTATGTTCATCTTTTTCAACTCCAATTCCATTTTCATAAAAATATCTAACACTATTAGTTCCATCAGCGTCACCCATCTCTACAAATTTTTGTTAATAAATAAATGCCTTATATTCATCCTTTTCAACTCCGATTCTCTTTTCATAGCATATAGCAAATATCTAACCATATATGCTTCATCAGTATGTCCTATCTCTGCAAATTTTGGATAAAATATGAATGCCTTATGCTCATTCTCTTCAACTCTTTCCCTTTTCATAGCAATATCCAACTTGACATGCTCCACAAACGTTCCCCATTTGCAGATTTCTGATAATAAATGAACGCATCTTTTTCAACTCCAATTCTATGACGATAACAATATCCAACATAGTATGTTCCTAGCATGCCCATATCTGCAGATTTTTGATAATAAATGAAATGCTTTATGTTCATCCTTTTCAACTCCTATTCCATGTTGATAATTGCATCCAAGGTCATAAGGAACTAAATCAGTTGATTTTTCATTATAAACCGAATTATTATAATTAATTTTGCTTTTAAATATAGGAAAAAATAAAATTGATTCACCATTTAAATATTTAAATATAAATGTATTACTATTTTACAATGTTTTGTATCATTATCGAGTGGTAGTACGTACGACTCATAGCTGTAGGTAACGTCTAGTGATGCAAGTGAATTAATTCCACACAAGTAGAAATAATTCTACAATGAGAATTGACGATCATTAATAATTTTAGTAATTCTACAATTCTATGCAGAATTGACGGTGTCACGCGCAAAAAATAAGTACTCTAAAAATCCCTGCAATACTAGGGTAAACAACTCAAAAGAGACGTCGAGTATAATTAGGTGAGATTTTATTAAGATTATCGCGAGATTTATATGTTAGAAATACCATACTTATATACTATTTATAAATCTATCAATCTACAAATTCTGCTAAATACGCATTTTCTGCAATTTCTACAAAATATACACTTTCTATAAGTTCTACATACGCAATCACCAAACAAATATGCCTAATATATCATCGATCAACTTCCAATCTTGAAAACGTAATTTCCACAGATCAAAATTGTAGAATTGAAGATTATTTTATAATTTTAGTAATTCTACAATTCTACGTACGCTTTGTACGTATGCACGTTGAAATTGTAGAGTCACTATGTAGAATTGGCAATCATATAATATATGCTTTTGATGTAAATTTGGAATTTTGCAATTTATTTAATTTTTTTAAATTAACTTA